ACTCAGTAATCTAAAGTCAATTATAGTATCCCAACCCCATTTCTCACCCACAAACTGCCTGTGAACAAAACTTATCCAACAAACACTACATCAGGTTCCATATGAGTACTGATGACACCCAGCTCTGTCACTCAATCTTTCAACTTAGCAGAGATTTTCTCCAATTAAACATTGTGGGGACCAATACCATTAGTTCAATCCCTGCCATAGGCTCTTTTCCTAGTCACTAGTTGTCCCCAAGCACTGTCTCAGGTTGAACTAAAATGTTTGCAATCATGGTGTCCTATTGGATCTTGAGCTGAGATTTTGCCCCCTCGACCCCTCCACTCCAAGGGTGCCTAAACCATCTCTGTAACTACACCTATCTCTGCCTATGCCTCAACTATCTATTGGCAAAACTTTCATTTACGTCCTTGTTACCTCTTGGTATGACTATTCCAGCATACACCTGTTTGTCCTCTCACCTAGCACCCTCCATAAATTGACATAAAGTCCTGTTGCTTATATGTGAATATGAACGAAGACTCTTTCACACATTGCTTCCACGCTCTTTGATGTACACTAACACTCAGGCTGCCAATCTCTTAGTTGTTATATTGCCATCCTTACTTTTATATACAGCCATAACCTTTCCTCCGCCTATTTCAGTAATTACTTCCAGCCCTTTGAAATCTCCAAATTTCCGATCTGATTTCTTGTGCATCCCAATTTCAATTAGTCCACATTCAGCTGTCTGGAATTCCCTCCCTATGCCTTTAAAACATACCTCTTTGACCATATTAATTTAAAGGTCATTGGAAGTACCAATGGGATCATTCTTGCTGATTCATATCAGAAGAACATGAATGAATGAGATACTTTAGAACAGTTTTGAGAAACTGAGAGAGTTTCTTTGAAAATTAAGGATCTATAAAGTGATGCTTTTGACTCTAAAGTTTAGAGTCTCAATCCATAATTCTTAGTTCAGTAATACATTTTATGTTTATAATAGTAGTCTTTGCAATAGAAGATGTAGGAGAGCTGTACCAAGTATATGTATATGTGTGACACTGTAACATTATTACATGCATTTCTCACAGAGACAGAAAGATTATAGAAGTTAAGATATTATAGTGTACTTAGCTATATAGGTGTCCATAGAATCGTCAGGGGTGAGATTTAAGCCAGCTAGTCTGGATACAGCTACCAGAGATAGGTACAAATTATCCAGGAGGTATGGTACAGATGAGGTTCACATACAGTGAATCTGAACATCATAGAATCCTTACGATGTGGAAGCAAGCCATTTGAGAATCCACCTAGCCTGCATGTCCCTGGACACATGGGCTATTTAACATGGCCATCCACCTAAACTGTGCATCTATGAACTGTGGGAGGTAACCAGAGAACCCACAGGAAACCCAGAGGTCGGGAGAATGTACAAACTCCAAGCAGACAGTCACCTGAGGTGGGATTGAACCCAGGTCCCTGGTGCTGCGAGGCAGCAGTACTAACCACTGAGCCACCATCCCACTCAAGGCAAACACGTTAGTGAACAGCTCTTAGATGATGATTTTCTTTTCCTGATTTTCACTTTGATAATTAATAAGGTGGGATTCATTCATTTGTGCAGCAATTCATACAGATCTTGAAGGATGATTGGTAATATAATTGCTTATATAACCCAACTGATTGGTATAAAACTTTCCAGAACTTTGTATTTGGACTTATTTGTTTGTAGGTATAGTAAACCTCAAATGCTTTCTCAATGAGTTTAGATGAAAAAGTTAGAAATTCATCTACTGCCCCTTTATGAACTTTCTTGTCTCAATGTCCTTACAACTCAAATCCAGAAGTAGGGCTTCAATGAAGACTTTCCTAATCTCAAGAATGTCACCCTTGAGACAAGTTGATACTGTGAATAGTGAAGTTCTCCATTAAACTTTTGTTGTCTTGTACTAAAACTACCAGTCAAGGTACACAAATCACGATTTCAAACTCCAAACAACAGGAAACATAAATTATTTGAAGTTTTACGGTTACTTTGGCTTGTGACTTATTCAGATGTTTTCCTTCTTGCGATTTTAAACCTTAAATAACTACAATATCTTCACAGGACTCTTGTTTAGAAAACAAGAACATTAAGCATCTGAAAGAGAAAAAAAAATGATTTGTGCAGTTTGGCTAATAAATACCGTTTCAAATTGAAAGTCACATTGATCATCAGGTGCATGTTTTCCCAGATTTGAAAAGGGTACAAAGCAGAAGAAACAGAATCGGGAAGTGTTGTTCACACAAGTATAACACGTGAGTCATATAAGTCCTTTCAACAATAATGTTGCAGAAGCTAAAATTGTGCAGTAGGAAATTATAAAATCACATGGCATAGGGAGAAGCCATTCAGCCCTATGTCTGTGCTGGCTCTTTGAAAGAGCTATCCAGCTTTTCCTGTTTGGGATACCAAGTGCAAATAATACATTTCTGAGTGCATATACAATTTTCCTTTGGAGGTAAGTATTGAAACTATTTCCCTTATCCATTTTAGGCAATAGACTCCAGATCACAGCAAAGTGCTGAGTTAAAATGGAAGTTAAACCAGAAATGAAACAGAAGGAAATGAAGGGTCAAAGAGAAGAAAAACTGAAGAAGCTAAAAATTATCAGGAAGATGCTGGAAGAGTACTGAGGGACTAATTGAACTGTCATGTGAGTTTAACAAAACCTGAGGCATAAGGCTAAAGTAGAACTGAGAGAAAGACTGCAGAAAGCTACAGCACAGAGGGATTCAGGAGTTCTTGTACATAAAAATATAGAAGATAAGAGGAGCAGGAGTGGGCTGTTTGATGGTCAAGCCTGTACCGCCATTCAGTATGATCATGGCTGATCATCAAGCTCAATACCCTAATCTTACTCTCCCTTTAGCCACAAGCGCCTATTTACCTCCTTCCAGAAAACACAATATTTTGGTCTCAACCATTTTCTGTGCATTCCACAGGTTCACCACTCTCGAGGTGAAGAAATTTCTCCTCATCTCAGTCTTAAAAGATTTACCCTTTGTCCTTAAACTATGACCTAATTCTGAACTCCCCGACTAGTGGGATCATCCTTCCTGCATCTAATCTGTCTAGCCCTATTAGAATGTTAGAGCTAAATAACAGTAATGATAATATGTAAATACATAAATCACAAAAAGATAGCGTACAAGTTCAACAGGTAACGGAAAAGTGCAATCAAACTTTGGTCTTTATTTCTAAGGGAATGGCTTGTAGCAAAGGGGAGATATTGCTAAAACTGTACAAGGCACTCATCAGACCAAGCTGCAATACTGTTTTGGAACCCTCATCTAAGGAAAGATATACTGGCATTGGAGGCAGTCCAGAGAAGGTTCACTAGCTGATCTCAGATATGGAGGGACAATCTTACGAGGAGAGATTGAGTAGGTTGAGCCTGTACACATGATGTTTAGAAGAATGAGAGGTGACCTACTGAAACATGCAAGATTCTTTGAGGACTTGACAGGGTAGGTGCTGAGAGATTGTTCTCAGTTGTGCAACAGTTTAGGACCAGACAGCTTAACAACAGAATAAGGAGCCACCCAATAAAGACAGAGATGAGGAGTTATTTTAACTCTGAGGGGAGTGAATCTGTGGAATTCTTTACCACAGAGGGCTGCATAAGTTTGGTCATTAAGTATATTCCGGGACGGGTGGTGGGGTGGGGGGCAGGGGTAAGAAATGGCAGCAAAGTGGGATTGAAGATTATCAGACTAACCATGATCTCATTGAGCAGACTCAATGGGCTGAATGGCTGAGCTTCTATATCTTTTCCTCCTCCTCGGATCTTCAGCAGTTCTCTATTCTCAGTTCTCTCTGACAGATGTCACTAATTGCAAGGAATTTGTGATCTGCACCCCAGGATTATATCGCACATTACAATTTATTTAGAGAACTTTTTTTTTCAAAAGTTCTGATCCTTTGTTATTGACGTATACCAGGAATAGATGCACTGAGGCTGAAACTTACAAGTGCATCATATCTTGGAAATTAATAATTTGCATAGGACATGATGTCCAAGTACTAAAAAAAAGTGTTAGTTAGGAGCCATGGTGCTGAATATTTTGGACAGAGTAGTAATCATTGATGGTGTAGGGAATTAGTGGGTGAAAGGAAAACGGAGTGTTTCTGCAAAGTGTACATTAGTGTTTGAATTAAAAAGCTAGAGAGAAGAAGAGATTTGTGAAACATAGGCATAAAACAGAAAATGTTAGAAATTCTCAGCAAGTCAGTCAGCACCTGGAAGGCCATTATCCCAGCCCCAAGTCTTCATGCCAATGTAGTTTCCAACATTTTTTGTTTATATTTCAGATTACCAGCATCTTCTGTTTTTTTTTCTTGCTTTTCACTTGTAAAGCACAGACTGTGTGAGTGTGGATTGAAATATAATCTCAATTTTTTTTTGTATTCATTCATGGGATGAGGGCGTCGCTGACCAGGCAGCATATATTGCCCATCCCAGAGGGCAGTTAAGAATCAACAATTGCTGTGGGTCTGGAGTCACATGTAGGCCAGAGCAGGTAAGGACGGCAGTTTCCTTCCTTAAAGGACATTAGTGAACCAGATGGGCTTTCCCGACAATCGGCAATGGATTCATGGTCATCATTAGACTCTTAATTCCGGATATTTTTATTGAATTCAAATTCCACCATCTGCCGCGGTGGAATTCAAACCCAGGTCCCCAGAATGTTATCCAGGTCTCTGGATTAACAGTCCAGCGCTAATATCACTTGACCATCGCCTCCCTGGGATGTCAGGGATAACTGCGGATAGAAATTTCAGAGATATTAACTGTGGCATGAAATGGTAAAACAGCAGCTTTTATCAATACTTTGGCATTTAGATTACATCATAACTGCAAGGAATTTGTGATCTGCACTCCACGATTATATTTCACATGACAAGTTATTTGCAGAATGTATTTTTTTTTAAGTTCTGATCTTTTCTTACTGATGCATAACAGGAACACATCCAGAAGGGTAGATGACACAGTATGAAGGAATTTACACAGCACAGAAGATGTTGTTCAGCCCATCACATTTGTGACAGCCCTCTGAGAAAGGAACTCAGCTGATTCCTCTCTCCTGACACACAGAACCTAAACTGCTGCTCATAAACACAAGGTAGCACTTTTATAATCTAACAAATAACAGTTATATAATATTAGTGATAGTTTCTTGAGTACTAATAAACTGCAATTTATAAAACATGCATTACTAGATAATAAACAAAGAAGTAAGTTGCTATAAACATAAAGTTTAGTAGCTTGAGAAATCAGCTAAATTGGCATTTTGGACATCAATTCTCATAAAAGTTGGTGTACGTGAGATAGAGTCATCTGGTTGTACAGCACAGAAAGTGACCCTTTCATCCAACTTGTCCATGCCAACCAGATATCCTAAATTAATCTAGTTCCATTTGCCAGCATTTGGCCCATATCCGTCTAAACCCTCATATTCATGTACCCATCCAGATGCCTTTTAAATGTTGTAATCGTACCAGTCTCCCCACTTCCTCTGGCAGCTTATTCAATATATATGCATCACCCTCTGTGTGAAAAAGTTGCCCCTTAGGTCCCCTTTAAAATTTCTCCCCTCTCACCTTAAACCTATGCCTTCTAGTTTTGGACTCCCCCACCCTGAGAAAAAGTCCTTGGCTATTCACCCTATCCATGTCCCTCATGATTTTATAAACCTGTATAGCACCAGCCCGTTCAGTCTCTCCCTATAGTTATATTTACACTCTATTCCTCCATAACCCTGTTCATTGATTTCTGTAGCACCCACCACCTATTCTGCCACCACACTGCTTCTCACTTCACCCATCATTTTTGACTTCATACTGTATAATCCTTCAATATCATTGTTATGCTTGAAATTAAATCACTATCAGCATTCCAAAAAATCTGTTCTCTTTCCCTTCCCTGAATGCTGTTTAAATACTACTCACGATAGCTGTGATCTTAACTCATAGTCAAATGGAGAATGAACACTGATGACACGGACAAAATGCTTTTGAATTGTAGGTTAATTATTTCCTCCAATTTCTACCGCATGTAGCGTTTCTGTTATTTCTTTGCCTTTTCTAAGCTTTACCCACTTTCAGAAGATATAAAATTAACTCATGAAAAGTTTCTGGGAAATATTCTCAAAACTAAAAAAGCTGAAAAATAGAGCTCTATTTATGAACAATGCAGTCCTTGTAAGAGTAGGTGTATGCAACTCATTCATGAAAAGGTATTTTATAATTGAATCCATGTTAGTGCATGCTCAGCAAAGCAGCTCCTCTTTACCAGAATTTGACTCATTACTAAACTGTGGTCTGATAAGAATGTTGTGCAGTTTGACCACAATTTCGTCTGACTTACATTCTACTGTTTTGATTATGTTGTTCAATGTTCTGACAAACACAAAATACCGTGGATACTGGAAATTTGAAATAGAAAACGCTGAAGTATGCAGCAAGTAAGACAGCATCCGAGGTTTTGAGGAAGCTTCTGAGGGACCTGAAACATTTACACTAATTTCTCTCCACGGATCCTACAAGACCTGCTGAGCCTTTCCATCAATTTCAGTTTAAGTCAGGCAACATCTCTGAATCAGAGCTGGAAAAAAACAAGAGACGCAGAGGTAAGTGCAGTGGCAAGGTAAACATTTGTGATAGGGTGGGAAACAGCATAGATTAAGTGGGATAAAACTGTGACACAAGAAGGATTGTTGGCACAGAGAAGAGTTGGCACATTGGAGAAGAGAATACATTGTTATGGACCAGACCAAACCCCCTCAAAATATTTTAAGAGGATACTCTAGACCCTAACTTTTTCTTATTTCAATGGTAAGTTTAATGCATTGCATTCCAGATACAATTCGATTTGTCAAACTGTTCGACTTTAAGCACAACACACTTGATTTTTACACTACAGTTAAAATACAGACAAAATAAAAATAAAAGAATTGGCTTAACAGTAACACTACCAAACTAAAATATGTATTAACTACTATTCATTAAATGTTGCGATACAGTAACAATCCATAAACACACCCTTGGCAAAGGCAATGTCAGTAAAATAGATTGTCTCACATGTAATTCTAGCAGCAAGAACAGAATCCCAACTTTTAGCTGTAATAGAGAGAGAAATAAGAGCTCCATATCCAGCTTCAAGATCCCAGCAACTGCAGAAAGCTAAAATTAAAAATCGTGGTTCTTTGGGAGCTTGACCCCACCCATTCAGGCTGCTTCTATTGTTCCAACTTTAAAAATGACAAGGCCTCACAAGTTATTTACTTTATTGGTTATAAGCAGACTGCTGTTCACCTCTGTCTCAACCTTTCCTCAAAAAAAAACAGGACAAAACACACCTCTTAAAGCCTTAGCATTGTCACATCAAAAAAATAGAGCACATTCTTAAGAAAGTACTTAACAGAGTGCAAAAGTTGCGTTGCAGTTCCCCAATATGATGGTTTAGTTTAGGATTATGTTCAGTGTGGAATGGTTGGACTGAAGGGGCTATTTCTGTGCTGTATGACTCTACAACTCTATGATGGAGGCCTTAATAGATGGGAGGCACCATAGGGGCTGCAGTGCATCATCAACCCAGACATTGTTATTTTGATTTGGCTTCTGCTCTATAATGTTCCATTAACTGTTTGTTGCTTGCTTTACAGCGTCCCACAGGGGACTGTTTAACAAATTAAAATTTGTTACTTTAAGAGTTGCAAAAGTTGGGAATTTCATGCAAATGTGAGGTAGTAGTTGGGTTACTTTAGTTGACCTGAAATGTAATCAACCTCTTTTTAAATTTAATGTTTTGAATCTAAGTATAGAGCTTGAAAAACTGTGGAAAAAGTAACTCTATAAGTCAGGACTCTAGAGTAACTGCCTGTAAGTGGCAATTAATTGTCAAGTAATGAAATTGTAAGTGGAAGAAGCATCAGAGGACAATTAATTGTTAGTGGAGAAAGCTGAGTCGATAATTGTAACTTGTGTGTGGCTTAAAAAAGACTGTACAGAAGTACCTGTAGGTCAGAGTGAAGATTGTATCTTCAACAAAGAATAGATGTTGGGAATTTGGTGGAAGGGTTAATTTGGTGTCTGGGTTGAAGGAAATGCTGCTTTTTGCTTCAAATCCTCATGATTCATGAGAGTTTGAAGCAATAATTATTTAACAATTTAAATCCAATATTTTAGTGATTAGATTTAAGTCAATGTATTCTGCGACGAACTCCATGGTTTGTGGAGTTTGCAGAATCAGGTGAGTTTTTTAAAAAAAATGTTCATGGGATGTGGGCAGACTAGTTCAGCATTTATTTCCCATCTCTAATTGCCAAGAAGGTAGTTAAGAATCATACACATTGCTGTGGGACCAGAGTCACATTTATATAGTGTTTCTTTTATAGCCACCTGATGTCTCAAAGCAGTTTATAGTCAATTAAATATATTTGAAAAGTGACCATTGTTGCATGTTGGAAACACAGCAGCCAATTTGTGCATAGCAAACTCCCAAGACTAACAAAATGATAATGGCTGGATAATACATTTTTGTTACAATGATTGAGAGATAAATGTTGGGTCAAGACATCAAACATAACTCCACTTTACTTCTTAGAAATAGGACCACTCATTCTTTTCTGTCCGGCAGGGACTGTAGATGGGATCTCTGTTTTAAATGCTTTAATTTGGAGTAGTTGTGTTTGGTGATGGAATCACACTGTTGATGTGAAAAATAGCATGGGATAGTGTGCTTAATATAGATGAGAAGTGAGCACTAGGGGAAGCCAAATGGAGTTCTAGGGTTGCAGAAGGGGTAACAGCAGAAGCACGGTGAATGGAATGCACAAGGGTCAGCGCCTGGCACCTATTCTGCAATGTGGTTCCAGACTGGAGGCAGTTGAAACCAGTGATATGAATTATTGGACCCTGTGGTGAACGACTTGAAGAGATGATAGGAACTTTTCCCCATTTCCGTAGAAAACAATGAAAAGAAACATGAAATAAACTGGGCATGAGAGTAGCAAACAAAACAGATGTAAGTGGGTCTAAAATTTGAGGCCAACAATTCAGGAAGTTGTTTGAATTTTTATTATGTTGCACATACAGTGACAGTAGCACACTGGAATCACTGGTATCAGCTGTAATGTGAATTGTCTTCAGGAGTTGAAACATCTTCCAATCTCTTTAAGTTTTAATGCCTTGGCAACATAACTGAACCTTCCTGACTGATCTGAAAATCAAAGATAAGCATCATTAAAACACGTTTTTTTGATTTGACTTAGAATAAGATTACCCTTTGCTGGAACAATCACAAACATGATTGAAATTTTAGCTGAGGCAGGATATGATGAAATCAGGTTGAAAGCAGCAATACAGTCTGTGTAATTCTCATGAAAGGTGAATGTGTAATATATGACTAACGGGATGTTGACAATTTTTCATCCTTACCATCCCACCCATACTTTGTATCCTGGGGAAGGATAGTCACGTTAGTACCATTGCTAACTGCTACTCTGGTTTAAAGTCTGGGGAATATTGTATCATTGTTTCTAGCCTTCTTATTTGAGCACTGAAGGCAGTGGGGTAATTTTAACAAAGGAAGCCGAAGTTAGGGCTTTCCAATGTCAGTTAGTTATCATGGAAGTGGCAGAAATTTATAAATTCATATTTTAAGCCTCTCAATTATAAAGGCAGCACAGGACAGCTTGTAAAAACCAGTGAGGTTCTTTCTAATGAATGTATGTCAGCTCCCCATGATACATAATCAGAATAAAACAGCAGGGTGTTTTCATGAGGAGGCTTGGTGGGAAAGAAAAACAGATTTACCACCAAAAGCAAGCTAGAGACAGAGTGGATCTGGGCAGGAAGAGGCACAAAAAATTAAGCATTTAACATATATTTAATTATTTGCTTTGAAACATAAATACAGAGTAAATAAATGAAAATAAAATGAAAATGAAAATAAAGCAAGTAGTTAGGATATGGAACACACTGCAGGGGAATGTGGTGAGGCAGGTTCAATTGAAACATTCAAGCACTGGATGGTTATTTGGATAGAAATGGTGTGCACTGAAATGGAGAAAAAACAGAAGATTGGTATTAGGAGATAGAACCAGTGCAGGTATGATAGGCAGAATGGCCTCTCTCTGAGCCACACCGACTCTACAATTGTGTGTCAGTGGAAAGTGAAGCAAGAAACAAGTCACTGCTGTGGTCTGTGCAAACATGGCTAGCATTGAAAAGCTACTGTTTCTTAGGAAAGTCCGAATCATGTTGCTTTGCAAATGTTAAGACACTAGCCACACAAAAAATGAGGGTAAAAAAGCTGCCTGGATAATCTCTAGCATTTTTGAGGCATAGATCAAGAAAGTGGACAAAATGTATCCCCAGAAGGAAGGGACAATTCCTCATTCAAGATAACTGTCCCACCCATCCTAACATTGCTGGTCTTTAACATCAGGCTGACAGATTTGCACACCAACACCACAGCCAAGTTCCAGTCAATGGATTAGGGGAAAATTAGGATAATAAATGCCAAGTATTGACGGCAGCTGATCTCTCATGTTATCGAGACTATTGATTCGAAGTAAGAGTACAAGCCAGATGTTCCAGAGACCATGCGCATGAAGCAGCCAGTTTGAGTGATGGTGATGGGAAATCACAATCAGTCATTGTTTCCCACCATGGCAGTTTCAAATGGGTTGTGACTGTGCAAGTTGAGAATGTGGAGGAGCAGGGTGAGGCTTCGGCTTTTTTCCAAAACAGAACAGAATCCAGGGTTGTCTTTGCTTTCCAGATGATCCTGGAATTGTGGCAATTGAGAGCAGGACTAAATACTAAGTTTGGCAACGAATGGTTAAAATGGTCCGTAATATTTGTTCAAGTCCGCATCCATTGAACTTAAGGGGCTGACGCTGGGTGAATGGGCAAAGTGAGAGAGATTAATGTGTTTAATTGGGACAAGGGTTTACAAGGTGGAGATAAGGATATGTTTGCAGCTGCAACTTTATGGTGAACAGAAAGTCAAAGGTATGATTTTGAGTGCATTTGTAAGCGAATTGGGAGGGAAAATTTTCCAAGGATGGATGTAGATGGAGGCGCCCAGAGAAAGCTTTATCTGTAATTGATGCACAAAAAGATGCTATCTGATCTCCCAAATAAATAAATCATTTAAAATATAAATTGGGTGCTGAAATATTCTGTCATCTGCCTTTTTACCCCTGAGGCATAGGTTCAAATCCAGTCTTTGTTTCTGACTGAATGAGGCCTGTGCAAAATATGTTTTCGCAGACCCAATGGATTTCGGTGTGTGCGCTAATGGCACAGAATTTCCCAAATTTGAAATTAAATTCATAATCTAATTCAAAAAAGTTTTGTGTAGGAAATAGAAAAAGCAACACTGCTGCAGGACAAATTAGCCTAGGCCATTCACCATCAGCAGTTATGAAAGGTTTCACCCTCCAAAAGTGTCTATCCAATGAATAGGTTTGCACAAGTAACTACTGGTGATCAATGATTAACTTTCCATTACCTTTGTCTGATGTGTGCTATATCTGACTGGTAAATACTAAGTATCATGCTTAGAGGGAAGAAACTTATTCACATAATTCCACTTTTAAATTACCTGTCCAGCATGCATGCCTGCCTCATGCAGGTAGAGACCGTGTGTTGACTATCCCTTGGAATTGATGTAAGTCTGCTTAGTTCTATTAGATTTGACGTGGCGCTGTTAGACTGGGGTGGACAAGGTCAGAAGTCACATGACACCAGGTTACAGTCCAACAGGTTTATTTGAAATCAAAAATTTTTGGAGTGCTGCTTCTTCGTCAGGTGAAGTCTCTTCACTTCACCTGATGAAGGAGCAGTGCTATGAAAGCTTGTGATTTCAAATAAACCTGTTGGGCTATAACCTGTTGTGTGACTTCTGACCTAGTTTTATTAGAAGCAGTGGTACACAGGAGAAATACATGAGTGAAGAAATATTCAAAACACAGGAGGAAAATTACATTTAAAATTTTATCTTTCAAGGGCAACTTGCAGTCGGTAGCATTTCCACGTATCAATGTTGTGTTTATCCTTCTAGGTGGAAGTAGTTGTCGGTTTGGAAGGCACTGTCTAAGAGGAATTTCTGCAGTGCATCTTTAAGATGTTGCGACTGAGCATCGGACAGAGTGGGCTTTTTTGGGGACGTGGTGCAAATCAAGCAGGCAGCTTTGTCCTGGATGTTAAATGGTTAATATCTGAGAACATGTATAACACCTTACAGAACAAAAACAATTAGGTGTCGCCTTCATTCCTTTCCAATTGTAAGTTTCTGAACATCTCATTCTTCTTGAGCATAACCAAACACATTGATTTTTAAAATTAACAAGGGTAAAAGTTTTGCAATTCGTTTGTAAAATATGTTACACGGAGTCATGCGGTTGCAACACATTGAAGAGGACGGACAAATTGATATTTTAGGCACTCGGTACTTTCCAATGTGTGGGCGAGCCTTTAGTGATGGACTTTCCCTACATTGTATGTTTGTACACACTAGGGCACAGAGTGCTCTGTTAAAAGCGTTTTGATTTTTTTTTTCCTACAGGACAAAAGGAAATATAAGAAAGGAATTTAGGGCATTTGAGCAACTTCTAAAATGAGTAAGTTATTTCATCATTTTTGCATCAGGGAAAGTCCCCAAGTTTGTACTGGTTGCCTGTCTTTTGGTTTATAAAACTGTGAATACTGAAACTTTACAAATGAAAACAAAGAATGCTAAAAGTTATGACGTGGGAGGAATGTTCCAAATTTGGCTTTTTGCAAGGAAGCCTCATAAGTCAAATGTACTTACTGGACATTCTGATATGCAATTTTCTGACTATATTAAAAGAATTGTTGGAAAATAATTCTCCAAATTTCTGAAATAATTGGATTATTACATAGAGTCAAATCCACAATTTTCTGATTTAGAGCAACAGTAGTATTAACTTAGACAATTTGCCAATTACAGTGAAACAAAGTTTTTGCATGGATTGTGTTTACTTATTCATACAAGACCAAGATGAGATGCTTTGTGTATCTGCACTGATACCACTAGGTTATATTTCCAGAACTTACTCTCAAACTCTTGATGCTCTCAGACCAATCCATGGATGCAATTTGTGGAATTGCAGTGAGAATAATACTCAAAGCTTTGTTTGCATTCTCCTTCATTATTTTGAGGACCTTTTCCACAGAGACCTACAGATTTAATGAAGTAAAAATGTATCAGTTTTCGCCAAAAGGAAATAATTTACCTACTCATTCATCTCCATGTCAGTTCCTTTGCATATTAGGAAAGAATAATTGAATTGTAGAGTTAAAAAGAAGGCCATTTGGCCCATTGTGTCTGCACCTGCACCACTCTTCCAAGCACCAGATTCCAAATCGTAACAACTCTCTGAGGAAAGAAGCTTTTCCTCATCTCACTCCCAACTCTCTTGCTGACAATCTTGAAATTGTGACCCCTAGTTACTGACATACCAACTAGTGGAAAAAAATCCTTCTTTACCCTGTCTAAATTGTTCATGATTTTCAACACCTCGATAAGGTCACCTTCTCTGCTCCAAGGAGAATAAGTCCAGTTCCTTTAATCTTTTCTTGTATCTAAAATCCCTCATTCCTGTTATCATTCTAGTAAAACTTCTTTGCATTCTCTCCAAGGCTTTAAGATCTTTGCTTTAGTAAGGTGACCAGAACTGAACACAATATTCCAAATGTGATCTGACCAATGGCTTGTGGAGGTGTGGCATCACTTCCATGCTTTTATACCCTATGCCTCTACTTATAAACCCAATGATCTGGAAGCCTTCTTAACAACTGTTTCAATTCTATAGCCACCTTCAGAGAATTATGCACTTGAACCCCGAGGTCCCTCTGCTCCTGCACTCCCCTCAATGTTGGATCATTGAACATTTTTTGTCTCTCCACTTTCCATTACCAAAATGCATTATGTCACATTTTTCTGCATTGAAATTCACCTGCCATGTATTGAGAGACAAAATTGCAACCATTGTCTCAAAGTAGTTTAAGATTTCTACATAAAATTCACAAAGGAAATTGTTAGAAACCCATTCCCTTAACATTACTCCCTATAACCATATGTGATCATTAATAATGCAAATAGTTTGAGTATTGTAGGTGAGTGAAATATACAAAGTGTTAGTGAAATTTCTACCAATGATATCAATATCATAACACTTGACAACACAGATTTGTTTGGGTTCATAACATTTCAGGATTCACATATCCCAGATCCATGCTGATGCTTCAGCCATTAGTACTTAGCTTTGATGATGCAACAATCAGTGGTAGCTAATATGAAATTTATAATTTCCGGCTATGCTCCATACCAAGTGCAATGTTGAAAGTAGTTTAACTTTCTTAAAATAGCTTATTGGTTTCTAACTCAGAAGGGTGGCAGTTCAAACGGCACTTCCGAATTTGGACACGTAACATAGACAGATTTTCTTTTTGCAAAGTTAACCTAGTCTTCCATTGACAGACATGTTTGACTTTCAAATGATATATTAAAATAAGGTAGCCTGTTGCGGTAATCCAGGTGGAATCAGATAAATCCAAACGTATTATTTGAAGAGGGGTGTTCTCTCAGTGTCTGGCTAAAGTGCTCTCCAAACCAATTCCACTGAACCACATTAAATGATCAGATTTATTTAGCTATATGTGGGTCTTTGTTGTCTGAAAATTACTGCCAATGTTTGCTTATTTAAACAACAATGCTTCAGCACAGTCCAAAGATGTACAGGTTAGGTGGATTGGCCATGCTAAATTGCCCATTGTGTCCAGGGATGTGTAGGCTAGATGGGATAGCCGTGGGAAATGCAAAGTTACAGGGTTAGGGTAGCGGGGTGGGTTGCTCTTTGGAGGGTTGGTGTGGACTTGATGGGCCCAATGGCCTGCTTCTGCACGACAGTGATTCTATGAAAAGATAATTAATTTATTATGAAGGATCAAAATATAAGTTGAATAGCATTTGTAGCATAAAAAGAGGTCCTATCAGTTCATGGTGGTGTTTATACCCCACTTGAACCCCTTTATATTTTTCTTAATCAAAACCTACCATCATAACCATCTATTCCCTTCTCCATCAAATGCTCAACTAGCTTCTCCTTAAATGCAACAGTACTACTTGCTTCAATCAATGTATGATAGCAAGTTCCATATACTTACTACCTTCTGCTTCTCCAGAATTCCCTGTTGGGTTTCTTGATAATTGCTTTATCAAGAATGCAATGTTCCAGTAATGCTCTTTCCCACAAGAGGAGACCCTTTCACTGTTTCCACTGTCTCAAAACTGTATAATCTTAAAGACCTCTACTAGTTCACCCTTCACCTTCCATTTTTCATAAGGTATCCTAAGGTGCTACATAAAAGCCCAGTTTTGTATAACATTTAATATTTTTTTCATAGAAAAAAGCAAAATAAATTTGAATTTCAAAAAAAAAGTCTAATTCTGTAACCATCAGCTATGCTTTTGACAGAAGGGCCTGCATTTGCACTCCAGTGATGGGAAACAGAGGCTGGCAGTAAACCCAGCCTGGGAGGTAACTGTCATTGATTGTCATTTCTATATATTTGCTAATCAACCTGTTCAGAGATGTTACTATACACTCTGGAGCAGGTGGGTCTTGAACCCAGGTTTCATGGGTCATAAATTGGGACACTAACACTGCATCACAAAGAGCATGATGATTGTCACTGTTACCGGGTGCCCCTCGGTTGCCTGCAGACAGGTTCACCATCCATTTAAGGACTGGAGCTGTTAAAGGCCTTCGTGTTTGAAGGGAACAGCAAGCTGAAACAGAGGAGGGTGCTCTTTAACATGGAGGTGCAATTGCTCCATTAAAATCCCAAAAATGGATTTTGCAGCCAGGCCAACACTATTGGTGGAGCTTCACCGCAGGGCAGCTACCGCACCCAACCAATCAGAGAATCCTGAGCTGCCCAGTCTGCTGCCAGGATGATGCCCACACATGCCTAAACTGGCCCCTGCCACTTGTAGGAACCTGATCAGAAAAGCCCAGTCACAAACTAAGCTACAGTCACAGAGGAACTCTGTTATTGCCTGGTTTTACTAACTTGCTGCCCTAGAAACATAGAAAATAGTTGCAGGAATAGGCCCTTCAGCCCTTCGAGCTTACACCACCATTCAATAGGATCTTGGTTGATCATGCAATTTCAGTATCCCACTCCCACTTTCTCTCCATACCCCTTGATCTCTTTAGCCATAAGGGCCATGTCCAGCTCCGTCTTGAATATATCTAGCGAACTGGCCCCAACAGCTTTCTGTGGTCGAGAAATGTCCTCTTACATTTGGTGTTAAAATTGGCGCCTTTGTCTTTAGATCCTTCCAAGCCCTGTTTCTAACCTACAAAGGCTCATCTCCCTGTTCACACTTGTAGTCTCCTCACACTGACCAAGTGAGTATCATGTTTCATTTTCTCTCTGCTCACCACGTGGTGGCACAGACTTCAGTCACCACTCTCCCCTCCTCTTTCTTCCCCTTGGAAATGGGAGATAATGGAGGGAACATGCATGTTTTACACTTAAAAAATAGCTAGCCCAATCTTTGTTATACGATTGCAGATATCTAAACAAACATTTCAGTTACAAAAAAGGAATGGGAAGTTGGATGTTTCTATTATTTATTCTTAAAAAAGGCTTGATAGTATCTGTGCCCTTTGAGGTGGGATGGTAGCTCAGTGGTTAGCACAGCTGCCTCACAGCACCAGGCACTCAGGTTCGATTCCACCCTCGGGCTGTTGTCTGTGTGGAGTTTGCACGTTCTCCCCGTCTCTGTGTGGGTTCCTTCTGAGAGCTGTAGTTTCCTCCCACAGTCAAAGATCTGCAGGTTAGGTGGATTAGCCATGCTAAGCATCCCATAGTGGGGATGTGTAGGCTATGTGGATTAGCCATGGGAAATGGTAGGTTATAGTGTAGGGGTGGGTATGGGCGGGATGCTGTTCAGAAGGTGGGTGTGGATGTGATGGGCCGAATGGTCTGCTTCCACACTTGTGGGTATTCTATGATTCTTTCCCCTGTGAAATATAAAATACCAATGCTATTATTACTCTTTACTCATGAGTACAGCACTCAAATTTCATAGAAACCAGTTTCTGTATGAGTGAGCCAATTTGATGAAATCCTGTGATGCTCCGAGGAGCAGAAAACAAGGTGGGGGTCGGGGGCCCTTATTTAAGTAGGAGGCAAACTGTAAGTTTTGCAACAGCGGGATGGAGATTGCTTGTTCAGTTGGCAGCAGATTACGGGTACATCCCACTTCCTGACAGCAAGCAGTGGGACCCTGTTTTTAATATGAGTCAATAGTTATATAGAACCTAAATACCACTGAAAGAAGACACAATGACACAGCTTTTGATATGCTTTTTAGCTTTCACATCTAATAGCCAGCTACTAGGTTATACATCCCAAAACCCCAGTAGACTGTATCAAACCGTATGTCCTATTGACCATTCACAGTGGGCAGAAATTGTGCTCAAAGAGCTTGTGTTTGCAACTCCAGAACAATCTGCTTATCCAGTTGGCTGGAGAAACCACACAATTGCACGCAGTGAGCTCCACGCTGCACATTCGGATCCCATCACTGGCACCTGAGACACGAAAATGATATTGTGCCCATTCTGACGAGTATATGCAAAATAGTCAGCAGATGTTACTCAAATTCTCTCTCTCCCTGGTAGTCCTCCAAAACAAGGACAACATTTGCTCTTGGCAAGAATCAGCCCATGGATTTTGTTTCACATGGGTGGCTGTTATATTGTAGCCGGCATGCAATTTTATTCATTTTACTACAAAAATGATATATAGCCTAAACTTTCGCCTTAGGTACCCAAAACAGCTGCAAACAAAAATAAAAATTATAGATATTTTTAGTCAAGCCATTCAGATGTTTTGTAATACAGTTCCAGAGCAGATGGGACTTGAACCCAGGTCTTCTGGCTCAGACGTAGGAACACTTCCACTGCACGACAAGGGCCCTCATAAATTTGTATCCATCCCTGGTAGAGAAAACATCCCACTTGATTGAGAGCTGTAACAATAAATGATCAATAGGTCATATGATTTGCATATATTGTCATGATTTTTCACATGAGTGTTAGAATACCTGGTGTCTGTTTCCATTTATATTTAATAGATATATGTTGATAATAACAGC